GAGCTTGTCCCGGTCGCACATCTTGAGCAGGAACATCTCAACGAGCCAAGATCTAGAGGCCCGAGTCGGGCCTTCATTCATTCGTTTGCTTGCGAAACCACTCCTCTTGTTGCTTTCGTATCTGAGTCGGTCCTGCCTGCCTGAGAGCATGCTTCTTGGTGGCAGCAACCGATATCAGAACCCGCAACTGCACCGAACAGTCGAAAGCACTGACTTCGTCTCACATCAGATTTCAGGATGATAGGGAAAGGAACAAGGTATGATATGTCCAGCCCGCTTCAATGCCAGCACCTACACCCGCCGATGATGACAAAAGCTACTTCACTCTCGAATTCACCAGACCATATGCGAGCTTTAAGTCTGTACTCGTTCTGAGACTTCACCTCCCCATTCCTTGCGGAACGTTTTTCGTTGAATAATCGCTGATCTAAGACAATAGCAGGTCATGAGCGCCTGATGGGCTACCCGAATTCATGGATATTGAGCACCCGTTGCGGATCGCACCCGAAAGCCGAAAGCCGTCGACGTTGAACCACCTTTGAGCATGGCAAACCGATGCGATCATGTCTGCTCACCCAATCCCATCTTTTCCATTTCGAGTATGCCTGAGAAGTCTCACCGCGATTCTCACCAACGAACCTGGTCAACTGACCCACACAAACGAACATCAAGTCTCAAGCCTATGCAATCAAGTATTGGCCGACGACGAATGGCTCTCTCAACACAAACACATCGCAGCCGATGATGGCCGACGCTCTGCGCAGTCTTCTGCTGCGGCTGAGGGTTCCGAGGGTTGACCTACTGGGGCTGAGGAATGGACGATTGAGAGACAGGCGGCCAATGACGACTGACTCTCCGGACATATCCCTGTCTGGACTGTCGTGGGGCTGGGCCGCCCAAGAACTTTGTTACCATCTGGGGGTTCGATCAGGACAAGAACGTTTACATCGGCCTATGATTATCTTCTTCCGGGCGGCGTTGTCGCCCGGTTGCTCTTCTGAGTCTGTCAAGTGGTGTGAGGTTGGAATCGAGGAACAAGTTGGAAGGGCAAGTCTGAACCAGCGGCCTATGATGACGTTGGCTACCGGACGGAGTTACCGTTCGGCTGTCAACATGGTGCTGAGGCTGTTCACCCTGACTGGGAGGGTCGTTCTCGGCAGTCTTAGTTGTAGAGGTCACTGGCGACTACCAGACGTTCGCTGATAATGTCGGGAAGCTGTTGGGGTCTCTGAGGAATCAGAGCTGTGGAGGTGATGATGTTTTCTGTTGCTCAACAAGAAACATGCGTGGCAGGTGGCCGGTGATGATCGACATTCACATGGAGTTCTTCATGTGCGTGCCCATTCCTGAGGCTTCCTTGGAGCTCATCTGGGGGTTCAGTCTTGCGTATGGACTGAAACCTGAGACCTGTGACGCATCTGAGTGCTTGGTAAGGGCCTCGGGGTTGTTGAGGTTGAGGGTCGGAGAGGTACACGGGGTATTACAAAGTCCCGGTGGATGGCATGTCTGGGCATCTTTGGCTTATGATGATTGGCTTCCTTGCGGCCTTGTCGTGAGGTTGCCACATTTCTGAAGCCATCTACAAGAGGGCACCTGGGGGTATCGACGTATAGTATCTGTCATGGCGGCCTATGATGACTGACTTCCCCGTGGCGATGTCATGGGGTGGTTAATGGAGCTGAGGCTGCCGAAGGAGTTTGGAGGGTCACGGGGGACTATAAATCCTGGTTCGGGCAAGTCTGGGTACCTAAGCCTGTGATGATCGGCTTCTTTGCGGCGTTGTCGCGAGTTAGCCACTTGAACTGAGGCCGTCAAGTACTTGGACTTGGACTTGGCTAGGAATGGTGTGAAGGATGGAGTTGGACTTGAGGATGTTGGTCAAGCTGACTGTTGCGCCGGGTTGCGAGCGAACCCTTCATGGCGGCGTTGTTGTTCATGTCCGGCTGTGTGTCGTCGGCGCCTTGTCAAGTCGCCGAGATGCCCTGAGCCCTTCACCACTGAGTTGGGCCACCAATATCTTAGAACCAGCGATGCCTTCCTCGCATTGTAATCCAATTGCGGTGGCATCATCGCTTCCCCTTGTCGCAAGTTCATCCCCTGTCCCACACCGCCTCTCTTCTCTCAGTTCTGGATCTGTCTCTGACACATACGACCATACCCATTGGAGAACTCGGGATCCCGTCCGCTCTCCCATCCATCGATAAACCAGTGAGGGCCAGACTAGTAGTTGGGTCGGTGACGACCAGCGAATCCCTGGTGTTGTATGTTTTTGCTTCTTCTATTCAGACTCTCTCTTTTTGCCGCCTGAGCATTACATTACACCCTTCTACTGTTACTAATCCCGACCGCCTCGCCATCACGATCTCACCATACCCCTAATCATATATCTAGATACAGACAAGCCTTACTCCTCCCCAACCCTCAACATTCCCCTTTCCAGCTTAACTCTCACCCCCCTCGCCTCCCTCCTCTTCTCCACCAACGATGCCTCCCCGGCAAACGTCCGTCTAGCCTGCTCGTCCACCCCGTGGAACATCGCCGCGAGGACGCTCCCCTTCCACAGTTCCGCCCCTTCGTCTTTTCCTGCTTCCCAGGCTGTCAGCACGAGGAAGATACCGGACAGGGTCACGCAGATGACTGGGATGGCGATGAAGCCCCAGCGGACTTTGATGAATGTCTCGTTTGTGGTTGTCGTCCCGGAGATGGGGGCGTTGTTGGGGGGTGTGGATCTCAGGGCGGTGGTTATCGAGGTGGCGATGGCGGATATGAGGGCTTCGATGTTGTTGTTGTTGCTTGGACTAGGGGATGAAGATGGGGGTGAGGCGTACTGGTAGAAGGCCTGAAGGATTTCGTCATCGTTGGAGCCCTTGGAGACATCCATCCTTGAGACAGACCCGTTCTGAAACAGGGATACCAACGCGGACTGCAAGGCTGTCCTCGAGGACGCAGGCAGGGTGAAGACATCCTGCGAGACAGGCGAGGTCATCACCACCGCGGCCTCCTTATCCCCACCGGAAAGGGGCACGCTCGAGTTGGTAAACGAGGAGATAAGCGTTTCCTCAAACACCCCATCTCGTACTCTCGAGTCCAGCCGCTGAACGCAGGCACTCAACGTGCATTGCTTCGCCCATGGCTGGCGGTCATTGCCGCCCTTCTGGTCGACCCCGAGGAACGAGAGGCGCATGAGCGTAGAGTAAGAGGCGGAAACAGAGGGGATCGAGGACGTCAAGCTGAAGACTTCGACGGAGGTGTTGAGAGTCGCTCCCGAAGGGAGAACCCAGCTGCAAGCGGGTAGATTGGTGGCGGTAGAGTTGGAAGGGTGAGCGTTACACAGCTGGGCGAGGTACTCGGTCATATCGAGACAGGAGGAGCAGACACCGAGGGTCTCGATCTCGCCGAAGGTGCAGTTGCCTGAGGGGCATTCGAAAGGGGGGCTGAACCTCGGTTTGTGCTCTTCCAGGGAGAGTCCGTGGTAGACTGCGGACTTGATAGGGAGGGTGGGGATGAGACTGTACGTGAGAGCGCGGTAAGTGGTTGCGCCGCTAGGGAGCTCGACGGTGCGCATGGGATACGCGACGATCTGCTGAGTTAAGGGACTCAGGAGGAGGACGAGAACGACGACAAAAGCACCGAAGGAACCAGCAACACCACCTCGACGATGAAGGAGGAGGATTAGGGAGCCGAGAGGGCCGCGGCTGGCGTTGTCAAAGTCCTCCATGTCGGAAAGGGGGGCGTACCCCTGCTTGAAGCGCATCCACTTGAGCTGTCCAAGGCCGCTGGAAAGGGGGACGCTCATGCTCGCCGTGGCGGTGGTGACCAGGATGGCGATGGCGGCATTGGGGGTGACGCTGGAAGACCAAGCCGAAAGTGGCTTGTTGTCGTAGTGGGCAAGGATAACCACAATAGCGGCCACGGCAAGAGCCGCTATGGTGATGCTGGCGATCTCAAAGATCCAGGTGTTGGAACAGGGGAGGAGAGAAAGGGGGGAGCAGCCCCATTTGCTGGAGACGGTGCTCTCGCTCTGGCTGACAGAGCCGGCCTCCCATCCCGAGGTTGGCGGCGTGATGGAGGTCATCTCTGCCAGCGGAGAGAGCTGCTTCTCCTCTTGTTGCAACGAGATGTTATCGGGAGTCTGGCTGGGGTCTTGCAGCGAGTAGTGCGCGCTGGTGTTGGCAAAGTGGAACAGCCCATGGCCGCCATCTTGATTGTTGAGGCTATTCTCCACGATCGGGGACACTGGTGACACAGGTGACGGACTGGCCATTGAGGGGCTCATGCCACGAGGACGAGACGGTTGGGATGCCATTGTGGTGGAAACTCTACATCAACACTCATGGAACCCGCCATGTTGGAAATTCAGGGTTCACTCCCTGGTATTTGTGTTGTCAACTGCTCAATTCCACCCAACGCCATCTCTACAAACACAACTCAAACTCTCAAGATTCTCCCACCATAATCGTTGTTGTTTTCTCGGTGCCTGGCGAGGGCCAAAAGGACAGTAGCACAAACTCCCCGACAGCTTTCCTCTCACTGGAGATTTTCAGTGAAGCCTGCTCTGTCGTGCATGCTCCATGCATGAGGTGGGGCTATGTCGTCCCAGAGGTCTGGAGCGTCCAGTCGCTGCAGTTCTCAAAGGAAACGGGGGAACCTTCGCGGGGTAGCATCGCTGTCAATGGTGGCAGGGCACGGCACCCCACGGCCGCGGGGTGTGCAGTGACATGTCCATTTTTAGCTTATCTCGACCTTTTTGCATGCAGGCTGACCACCAGCCAACCCCCCTGCTTGGAAATATTGACTGATTTCGACGTTGTCGAGTAGCATTGAGATAGGGGCCGAAGTTTGCCCTCGCTGTTCGGGAATGGTATCGGGGAAACGGAGACAAAGAATCTGAGCACAATCTTGATGAAATGTGATGTTGCTATGCCGTCTCGTGCAAGAAGACCAAAAAAGGGGCAAGTTCAAAATGGCATCCGAAAACACCCCCGCCAAAAAATGGACGTTGCCCCCTTACGGGATTGAACCGTAGACCTCGGCATTTCAAGCGAATGCTTCCTTACGAGTGCCGCGCTCTACCACTGAGCTAAAAGGGCTAGTTGATTTACCACTCCACTATTGCAACTCAAGACACCCGCACTCAACCCGCAGCAGCGGAAACGCCTTCCAATTGCTCTAAAATCCGTTATCAAAACGACAGGAGGCAAAAACCCCAGCTTATCTTCATCCATGACGCACTTCAATACGCCTATCAATCCCCCATCACCAGCTGCGCCGCTGCCAGCACCAAACCCCCCGCCGCGAAGCCCCGCCAATCCAAACCCCGCATGCCGATCTGGGCAAGTCCCCTGCTCAGCTCCAGCCCCAAACGCTCCCCCACCTCCCCTCACCTCCCATCCATACGGCACCCAGTCCCGAAGAAAATCTTTGGACTTGTGCGACCACAATCTACACGAAATTGGGACTGTGTAACCATCTAAACAAAATCTCCCGGACTTACACAGACAGGCAGATAGATAGACAGCACAAGCAAGGCTACGTATGCCCTCTGTAACACCCGAGTCCCGAACCGCAACCTAAAGCTTTGTCGAACTCCATTCGCAATTGAGGACGCCAAGTCCCCACCATCGCAAAGCGTCCGCACTCTGGCAAGATAGGCACGATTGCGCGCCTCAAACCTTGACGCCATCAGGTGGTCAAGTGCAATCATCATCACAAGGGAATCCGTACGCCCGTCAGATCGATCGTCTCACGCAGTTGTCTCACTGGAAAGCGACGGCTCACGGTTTAAATGCTGCGCTCCCACCTGCGAGTTCTGTCGTCCATCTTCCCTGAACTCCCTCCCATCTCAGCATCTCGCGTTCCATCTCCCAGCTGACCTGATGGTCCCCCCTTTTTTTTTTTTTTGACCTGACCATGTGAAAACCATGCAAAACAATCGCCACGATGACGCCTATCTACCAAAGCCAACGCGCGCGATTTTCCCTCATTTTTAAAAGCCCGACCAAGAATTGGGTATCTCTGATCTGCAACGCAAAACGTGATAACAAACCGGAACTCCACCCAACGACACGAACACATCAGCCACCGAGTCACCATGTCAAGCGACGATCGAGAACACCAGAAACACCAGATACGGCGCCATCGTCCATCACGGGCCTCACCTCGGGCTCCACCTCTCTGTGCTTGTCGGCGTGACCGTACGACGAAGTCGTCGACCACAGTCTCTAGTTGGCACTCTAACCGGCTTCACCTCACCCAGCTCATCACCTCAACACCAGCAAATATTGCGACAACGTCATATACGCACTATTCAACACATACAACAACTCAGCCTAAGAATCACCAGCGTCCCCTCTTCAACCAACAACTCAAGCACCGCCACCGACTTGTCTTCTGCACAGCCCTCTCAACTTCTTCTCACCCTCCACCTCGCCCCTATCGCTTCGACTGCGAACGTTGTCGAAGAAATCGGTCCAAACCAACGGAAAGAGGACAGCGTGGTAGAAGACCGAAACCAGTAGGCCGAGCAGGAGCCAGTGCAAAATCCAGTTCCCCATCGTTGTCTCGTTGTACACGTATCCATAAGCCCAGACAAAGTCGGGCCCGAGAGCAATAAAACAATCCCTGGTGTCAAAAGGCCGTAACACCATCGCTGCAGGGGGGTATCGCTGCATCCCTCGTTTCCAAATGGTGAGTCTAGTGTAATGGACGGCATGAACCGAGAGAAAAAAACCCTGCAGTTCAGATCCTCGTTCCCGGAAAGAATGTCAGAGTCGTAGTGCCATTCCGATTCAGAGTCTTGAAAATGCTGAGAGAGAGAGAGAGAATTCGTGTGTTGCCCAAGGAGACCGTGAATCTTTTCCGTCCCACGTTTGTCCAGAAAGAGGTTGCTTTACTTGAAAATGAAGCTGACGAGAAAAAAGACACCGGACGCCATTATGAAGCCGATTTGTCGTATGCCGCAATCGTGCGGATAGAAGTCCGTGATCATGACAAAAAGATAACAAAGGAACCGGAGAAAAAAAAGTATGATCCATGTCATTGGGAGTCGTCACTCAGGGTCGAGTGGAGGATGCGCCCAGTCGTCACAACTGCCGTCACATCCTGCCGCTTACGCATTCGCTCGCTGCCTACACCCCGCCGGGGGCGATCGGGGCCGACGAGGGAGGGAGACCCTGGTTGCCGTTCAAGTCGGTATCCGGCTTATGCTCGCCGTTGCCGTTGTTCTTCTGGGGGCAGTCGCGCGAGATGTGGCCTGGCTCACCGCACTGGTAGCAGCTCTTGCCAGCGGTGCCAAGGGGTCCGCCGTTGGGAGCCGTGCAGTCACGGGAAATGTGGCCGAGCTTGCCGCAGGAGTAGCACTTGATGGCTTGCGCCTGGCAGTCCCGGGCGAAGTGGTTAGGACCACCGCACTTGTAGCAGGTGGCGGGGCGAGGGCCACCGGCGAAACCGCCACGAGGATAGCCTCCGTAGCCTCCGCGACCAACCGGGGGGCCGCGGCCGAGGACTGGGCCGCCGGGGTTATTCGGGCAGGCGCGCATGTAGTGGCCGGGCTGATTGCAGTTATGGCAACGGCCAGTAGAGCCAGCGCCGCTGAGGCGAAGAGTCGGGCAGTCAGCCTGCACGTGGCCTAGACCTTGGCAGTGGTAGCACTGCTTGGACTCAGTGGTGCGAGGCAGCGGGCATTCGCTGGACTCGTGGTCTGGTGGCATAAATGTTAGTCACCAAGGTCAGTAGCCCGAATTCGAGCATGCACTCACTCGGCTGCTTGCCTGTGCGTATGGGTTAGCAGAGTCGAGATGAAATGGCGCAGCGATATCAACCTACAGTTGTAGCAGAGTCTGTGGGCCGAGGAACAAGCATCGGCGTGGTGACCGAGCTCACCACACTTATAGCATGCGCGACGAGAGAGCGAAGACATTCTGGCGGTGTCTGTCGGTGAAAGATTAGTTAGCCTCAAAGCCAGAGACGTGTGTGGTGATTGATCTGTGCTGTTCCCCCCTGCCCCTCGGTACCGCTCGTCCCTTGAAAGACAGCTTGAACGACAACTGAGGGTAGCGGAGAGAGTGGGCGAAGGTCCGGATGTTCGATTATAAGCGGAATATTGGCAGGCTTGAGAGGCCCCATAGTTGAAGCTCTCGAGTGGGATTATCGACGCTGATCCAGAGGGTTCCAGTCACCCGAGGGATGGATACAAGGATCGCATTCGATTGGACGGAATTCGAGGCAATGCAAAGCGGGATAGAAGGCGTGACATGCGTTGAGGTACCAAGCGTGCTGTGGCTTCAGGCGCATCCGCCATGTCGCCGGTGACCGATAGTGGGTAGCGGGCAGTGGCTGATGTGATGACGACTCAGATCGCGGTTCTGTCAGATGCCGAGTCGTCGCTAGCCCCCGTTTTCTCGTTCCGCTTTGGAGGGAGTGCGGCGGCAAGCCATCGCGGACGCAGACCAACGTTCGTTTCCACGAAACTCTCGGGGGGCGGAGAGGTTGGCGCACGCCAGGAGGTTGAGTGGTTTTGCGCGCCGCGGCGCCTTCGTGCTCAATTGCAGCGCCAGGGGACGCCGAGGAGGCAGAGGCGATCCCCATACGCAGAGATGGCATCCCATGGTTCAAGGTTCGAGGGGTACCCGAGGAGGAGCTTCGAGAAGAGTGGTTTGAGGTGGGGGGTCTGGCGACTGACCTTCTTTGAGTCAACAATAAACCTGCGTCCTTTTCCCGTGTCTTTCCGACTGTAACAACCTCGTCCTGCGACCGACGACGTCCTGCAACTTCACACCGACAACGACCAAAAATTCGATTACCTGAAAAGGTGAGTTCAAGGAGCAATGCTGGAGGGAGGAGAGAAGAGGAGAGAGGAGGCGGAAGGGACGGAACAAGTAGGACTGGGGAGGGTAGGGATAGCGCCAGAGGCTAGTTGCCGCACGGGCGAGCGAGAGAGAAAAAAAAACGGACGTGGCGACATGGAGGGGACTTGCCTCCCTGTCCCGGCTCCTGCGCTGGCGCGGCAGAAAATGCCAGGCTTAGCGGCGCCTCTTAGCGAGGACGAGGTACCTGCCACGTACCCGAAGCCATGACAGCGGCTTCCATTTTTCGGTTGGACGGACTGGATTGGACCGTCCAGGTTGCCTTTCCCACCCGGGGCCTGGGCGCTGTGCAGTGGATGCCTGTGAACAAAGAACAACTTTCACCTTTGACCGCGACTCAACGGGCACTTCTCCTCAGCTTAAAGGATACGCTAAAAAAAATCATGGTCTTGGCAGCTCCAAGTACCCACTCTGACGGATTGCGCACGCCTGGCACCCACATGCCGCACAGCTGGACGTCTGTGTGCCTCCGTTTTGGAGAGTTGGCCCTCGCCTCACAGGCGGCGGAAGGTGTTGCCATGGCGGTTTGCAACCGTCTTGTTGGCAATTGGGCTAGAAACGGTGTGCGATGGAGGCGCAACGTTGAGAACCTACTTTTGCTTCTTCTCAGCTTCTGTGGTTCCGTCCAGATGTAGGATCGGTAGTTGCCTTATCTCAAGTCGCGGCCGCGGTGCCGTGTTACCGTCCCGGCTAGTATTGCGGCGACAGGCCGAGTGCCGGCTCGGGGGTGATATCATTGACGGCTTTCTCCCGGCGACGACAGGGGCAGATAGCTCTGCCGAGGTGTGGTTACAAACCACTGTCACAATACAATAACGACGCCCGGCTGTTCGCCGGGCCGTAACAACGGAGCTTCATCGCGCCCCTCCTACTTGTAGCTTTTGCTAGCCCAGGCATCCAAGCTCCCTTGTCCCTCCCAGCATGCCCACGCTGACGTTCGAGGTGCTTCGCGCGAACTGCGGGGCAGAGAGTCGAGGGCAAGGGGCTTCGCCAGCGGTCAGCATCTTGGTCCTCGCACTTCTCAACCAACGCGCAAGGCATCCTGCGCAGCATCGCAGAGAACTTGGAACGCGCTATCTGCCATGGCGCTCGCGCACTCTCAGACGGCACCAACAGAGAAAAGCGCACACAGTTCGGTCCTTGAGACAATTGCAACCTCTGCGGCTCCCTTGCGCAGTGTGAGAGCGTCGGATGCTCCCAAGCTGCCCACACCCCTCTGCACGGAT